ATATTTTCAGGGAGGCGATGGAGAATGCAGGGCGATAGGCTACGGAAGAGTATAAAGAAGACCAATTTTATCTTTCTTTTCTTTTTCGTTTTTTAATTTTAACGTAAAGTTACCATTTTGCTCCTTAAATTGTTAAAATGTGGTTAAAATCATTTTTCTGATTAATTGACAAAATTTTGGATGAAAATCGTCCAAAATGGCCTTAGATGCAACATTTAGAAAAGTTAGGGGTGACGGCTCCAATAGATCAAAGGCTTGGAAAAAGTCTGTTAATTTTTCAAAGATTTGGTCTTTTGCTGCAATTATCCCTTTTTTCCTTTTACATTGTTTTATTCTAATTGTAACTTTATTTTGCAATTAGTGTCTGCACTACTTAGCTATACATTCGTTTCGAAATTCAAATTCGAAGGTGCAGTTGCGTAGCAGTGCAAGAAAAGCTTGAAATTTGAGTATACTCTTCTAGTGAGTAAATGTCCTCACTCCTCATTTCACCATTTGTGGCCTTGTCAGCAATATTGAAATGTGAACGATGTTGTCTTGTCGGGTTAATGAGTTTTTTTGTTGCCTTATATGCTTAATAAATTATTTTTTGATTATTGTTGGAGTAATATCATTGATGATTTTTTTATTTTATTTTATTTTATATATATATATATATATATATTTGCAATTTTAAGAAGTTGAAAATGGAAGATCAACCCGCTCTCAAGAAGAATAAGAACTTGTTTTCCTTCTTTCAAAGGATAAATCGACCTACTGAAAGTATAGCTTCGGATGGACTAACTGGAGATCATCCTTCATTATATCGACTTTTAAATTTTAGCCTGTGCACCAAAAATTCCTCGATCCACCCCTACTCAAGAAGGCAAATTTTTGACATTTCGATTGAATAAGCAACCTGAATTTTGTAACGATTTCTTTTATAAAAGAAACATCCTACCAATAATTAGTGGAAATAAGCCTACTTAATATATCTATACATATAGATACGCGAATATCTCTATACATATGCTGATGGTTCACGAACGCCCATGGGATTAAGCATAAACATTGTCCCAAGACTAACAACTTTGGATGCCATGTTGCAAAACACAATGTTAGTGGTATTAATATGTGTTGGCCTGAAATCAAGGAACCCAATTAACTAATCTTCTTAAATTCTATATTTTATGAAGTTTTAGACTATAATATCAATGTGGTAGGATATCTAGGGTTGACTTACGACTCTAACATCTCTGGAATTCTTGGATCTTGGTCCTTGGCAGTGGAGTGGAACAAAAGTTGTGTTATTTCTTTCAACACAAAAGCCATGAAATTTTGCAATATAATCTCAAATTCCAAAACTTTCTCCTCTCCCCTTATATTTGTAACTATTGTTATAATGGGGTACATTGTTTTATTTACGCAATACTTTCTTTACGAGACATTTGGGACACTTTTAGTACGTTAGTTTAATAAAATTCAACAAAACAATTGATAGACTTTGTCACGCCTTAAACATATTGAACACAAATTTCTAAACTCAATTGAATGGGATGTATCAATAAATCAAATTCTCATGTATCGTGCTTCTTTTCTTCATAAAACTATATCTTTATTTAACAAAAAAAAATTATTTGAATTAGAACTTTATATACATAAAAGGCTTTTCTCCTAAAAACCAATATAATATTGGTAGATAATATCACATCTCTTAAAACGTCCAACCATCCTAAACTTTCGTATATATTTAATACGGTTCGTTGAACATTGGTAGCTATAATTAAGTATGAAACGAAGTTAAAATTCTATTAATTATCTAGTATAAAACTTTTTGAACTTCCATATAAAATATTTCCTCGTTAAGTAATAAAATTATGGAGGGGTTTATTAATGGACTCATGATCAGTCTTAATAACATTAATTGAGAAAAGGAAACACACAAGATTAGTTGTTAATTATAATATTTACTCCAACATATTAAACATACCATAAATCAGAAGTAAACTTTTATGATTTTCGTGAACACGAAAAAGTTTCTTAGACAGTTGATGCATGAAATCTTACACAACACACTCATAGGATTATTTTTCAATCTTCTTGAAAAGGAAAAAGAAAAAAGAAAAAAAATTATAGACAATTTTTTTCTCTCTCGAACATTTCCTCTACTGGTGAGCATTTTATACCATAACTATTCGAATTGGAGTAGAACCAAATTCAGGTGTATGTGACCAAATTGTTAATATATATATATATTAATATTTAATCACGAAACAAATATTTGATGAAATGTAGTATTGAAATCACTATCACACAATCTAAACTCCATAACGAAATAAACTATTGTTTGTTGCTTTATTTGATTATGTTAAATTTTTGGTACTAATAAAATTTGTTAACAGTGGAACACATATTTGACACCTAAGCATGTATTTATCTTGTCGTTGGCGACCAAATCGAAACTACTTACGAAGGACAGATTACATTATCTTCAAATTGACCGTAATTGCTGTTTTTGTGAACGAATGGAAGAAACTGCTCGCCACTTGTTCTTCAATTGTCCAATTAGCAAATTAGTTTGGCACATAATCCGTGCATGGGTTGGCATTCGAAGGTTAATGTCCACACTTCCTAGCACTCTCAAATGGATCAAGAAGAAAAGTAGGGGAAAATCTTGGCACAGCAAAGTGAAGCAAATTGCACTTTTTTTGACAGTTTACCACATTTAGATGGCAAGAAATAGGAAGATTTTTGAAAATTTTATAACGCAGATTTATAGCATTGTAACTCTGATTAAAACACATATATACAAAGTCATGTTTTCTTTGTATCCGAATATTTTGATCCAATATGAGTCTTTGGCTATGAGTCTTTAGATTGTTTTGTTGAACTTTATCATTTTCATTTTGTTTTACCGAGGAATGCTCGATTTTGTTGTATAGACATCTGCCTTGTTTTTTATTTGCTTGGGAATGTCCAGTGTATTTGTATATGTTGTTGATCAATATAATTCACGCTCGCTGAGAAAAAAATAAAATAAAAAATTGTTAACAGTGTTGATAAGTGAGGCACACATCAATATTGAAGAAGTTAATTGGGATGAGCATTTTTCTGATCCCATAATCTTTGTTTCTTCAATTGACAGCTTACGTAAAACCATTCCCCAATGTGGTTGTGCCATTGGGATTAGAATTCTGCCCCTTTGACCGACAACCTCTTAAACATAGATCTCGTAATTAGTAGTAAATTATATCAAAGTCAATCTTAATTAATCCTTTGTTTCAACATTAATCAAATTCTTATTTATTATCCCAAAAAAATCTCCCTGTTCATACGGCGCTAGAGTAGGGTTTTATAGTTGGATGTCTTGGGATGAGAGTCAACTCCATAGTTACAGGTATTTAAAGTTTTCGGTGTAGTACACACGTCTCGTTAAATCGATATTTTTCCTCACATCACTTATTATGAGAATCGATGAAATGCTCGCGAAGGTAGAAAATAAACATGAGCAAGAAAATTATCAAATAGAACAACCTATTTAACTGTGGTCGAATCCATGTACAAGGAAGAAAGGCTAAAATTTATTAGCGAATAAGCTGACTTTCATAAGTAATGTTAAATAGGATTAGATTTAATTATAAATATATTTTTATTTTTTTTATTAGGATTATAGTACACACCTTATTGAGAGTCACTTTGATTGTATTATCAAATTTCAATGAATTTTTAGATAAGTTCAATTTATGTAAGTATTTTAACTAAAAAACTTGCATAAATACACTTGCGATTTTAAACATACATTCAAATAACTCTTAATTCTATCACAAATGAGATATCAGACTAGTAGAACTCTAAGAAATTCCAATTTTATTATTATATTTACAAATTAAAAATAAGAAATGAAAGGAATTTCAAAAAAGAATAAAATTTCTTAATTTCTACCTAAATCAAATCTTTTAATTTAGGATTTATTATCACATGTATCAAGGGTTGAATCTCTTGTTACACCCTCACGTGCCCATTAGCTTGAACTTGTTTAATAATGTAAACATTAACTGCTATCACTTAATGTGCAGTGTGCCAACCACTTCAAAACAACATTTGAAACTGAGATTTTAATTCAATCTGTCCAGCACTTAACCTTGCTGTCTAATTACTGTTTGTCAGATAATTGTCTCCAGGGTTGAAAGTTGAAACTCCCATCTACTTCTTGAGATATACCCTTCAAATCATATAAGCAGAGACTTAAAGCCTGACTAAAATTTGATTCATCATGTTGTGAAAAGAACGTCTTAGCCGTCATTGAAACACAATCTAGAGACGTATCAGTCAATATGAAATTCATAGATGTAAATGACAGATTTATGATTTTACGCAAAATTCTTTTCGAACTTGTTAATTTATTTCAAAATAAGGTAAGGAATAAAGCCCCCTGTCCCGGCTTGGGGACAGGGTTGAGGAACCGGCAGGTGCCCCTCCAATGGCGCCTCTGTCCCTGACCCTGATCCCAAGCCGATACAGGGAGCCGGGTTGTAAAGTAAGATAGACTTCGGCAGTGCAATAATTGATGCAGGAATTGCATAGGCTTAACTTGGTCTCACTAGTTGGATTCAAGAAAAACATTGAACACACAGACCTTCTCAACCTTTTTAGATGTATTTAAGTACAAATGTGCATTACTTGGAACTTGTGATTCAAATTCAAAGCATACATAATTGTTGAAATATGAAAGTTATTAAAATGCACTCACCCCTCTTTTGCCCTTCACTAATATAATAGAAAGGTATTGTGAGAGTAAAAATACTTGCTAAAAGTAGCCTCTAGTCGGTAATTCGACATCATGAGCTATTCGCACCATCGATCAACATCAACTTATCTCAATTTTAAAGGAAGAGATCGACGATCCCAAGTTCCTTTACTCTGTTGAGAAAGTCTTTTCCACTGAATAACTCATGTAAGTAAAAATATGTTGGATTATGTGCAGCCTAATCATTAGATACATTTATGACATCAACTGCAAATCGATCCAATAATTCTGTATATATAAAGGATTTTAGGGAGAACAATATAGTGTGTACAAGAAGTACCTACTACTAGACTCGAGAAAGAATCTGCATTACCGTAAGTGAAGCTGACGAACAAAAGTTTGAGTGTACACCTCAAAAATTAGTTGAAGTGGGGATATTTTCCACACCTTCCAAATGTAAGAAGGAGATTATATAGGAAGAACTAGCTAAGCAGACACTTGGCAATCCAAACTCTTCCTAGCTAAGCAGACACTTGGCAATCCAAACTTAACCAATGACAAAGGTCAACTTCTAATCGAACTCCCCAAGTTGTCACTGCCTGTATCCCTCAGGATTGTTAGCCTTTTCGCATTCTTCATAAGATCACTACAATAGCGAAATGATCGAAACAAAAATTAGAACGCTAAACAATTTACTAATATTGTTCAAAATCAGTTCAAAATGAGAATGATATAGCGTGTTACCTGAAGGTTTCGTCTCTGGCATTTTTAGTGGTGCCTACAGCATCACTATAAAGCACATTGCTCAACATTTCCGTTTTTTCCATGCCAAACATCTCCGCCAACTTTTTGTATAGTTCTTCATATGAGTGAAAAACTGATAAGTCAAGGGTCCGACCAATATCTTCGGACTCCATAAACACCTTACATTGTCCTGTCGCCAACCCAAAGTCCAGTTTCTGATCTTTGAACCGTGGAAACTGTTCGTCCAAAGAAGTTTCTTGTGGACAATTCTGAATAACTGCTGATCCAGAACCATTGGAGAGATTTGCTGTATTCTCTTGATTATCTAAAGAACAACTTTGAGAGATTTGCTGCTCAGTGAGAATTGGTTGACCAAACAAAAGAAACACAGGCTTTTGTGTTTCATTATCTAGCTTTAAATTTTGTGTTGAGTTTCCTACTGTAATCGGCAAGCAAGATATTGAATCAAAGATTGGATTTACTATGGGATTATCAAGTTTATTCGACTCAAACAAGTGCAGTCCCGGCTGCAGATTTTTGACGTGGAGATCCAGTAAAGATGATCCAAATTGAGCATGCCTGGCTCCCTGTATGCCTGCAGAAATATTGTGCTGTAGAAAACACGAGGGGCTGCTGAGAATGAGGGTGTTGCTAAGAAGTGATGGAACCTGAAGTTGCCCAACCATGGGAAATTCTGGAGGTTGTGGAAGCCGCGACCTCTTTCTTGGTGGAGAAAAGGGGGAAAGATGGATTGCGGGCATATTTGATACCAATTCAACTAGCCATGGGTTGACTCGTTTCCCATTTTGTAGTAAATCAGGTTCGTCCCATGTTACCTGCAAAAATGTCCGAATCAAAGAATGTGAAAACAGCTGAGGAGATTGACAAATTCTTTTTCCAGCTAAAAATCAAAGGAATGACTCAACTCATAGGAGAACAAATTACAGTCTCCGTTTTTCGTTTCTTACAACACTATAACTTATTTATACAGCCTTAAGAGGGATAAAGAGAGGCAAATTCTTAGTTTCAAGAACAAATAACTGTAATAATTCAACTTAACTCTTGGGAAAACAAGTTTATTTCTCCAAATATGCATACCATGTTGAAAAATGATAACGAAGCATATAATTATGGAACTCATGGATTGCAGCAAGAAAATAAAATTGTCATGTAACTAACTACCTGAAGAAGGCGCCAAGGAGAATTAGGCCAATGGATGGGGTCTTCGACCTGAACAGAAGATACGGTTCCCATGAACCAGCTGATCCGAGATGAATCTTCGGTCTCAAAAGCCATCTTAAACCTCATCCCTGCATACCATTGGACTCTCATTGCATCCCTCACGGAAGAGGCCCTCACCACAAACTCCGGCGTGCTAGCTCGTGGATAATAGACGACCTCAAATGGTTGTCCATTGGCAGCGAGATTTGCTGCTTCAATAACAGATTCAGCTTTCACTTTCTCCATTTCCCCATTCCCTTTCTTAACATTTGCCATGGCCAATTTCCCGTTTTCGCACAGAAAACCGGAGAAGCCCCTAAACATGGATGAGGCAGAGTTCGAATCTCCAGTGTTCCATCCTGAAGACACCTCAGGTCCACCGCCAATGCCCCTTTTCGCCCTCCGAATCCCAACACGTATATCCCCATTTTCTGCCCTATAGAACACAATGGAATCACCGGCAAGGAGCTTCTTCTGATTTACAAAATTACTCCATCCGGTTGTCAAAAGATGTCGACGGGGTGTCCCTCTATATATATGCCTAAATTTCCAAGTCCCCCCATGAACATCCTTGGCAAAAATTGTCTGAACTGGGGGCTCAGCCGAATAATTCAACCTCGGAAATATAGTCTCAGCACAATACCTCGGAACAGAGAATCCCCCACCATTGTTTGCATCAGACTGCGTCAATGTCTTAGCAAATGAATTTGATTTTTCTTTTTCATCATTCTTATCAAATCCCAAAAGTCCATACTCATCATCGCCATCACCGTCATTGCCTCTTAATGGAACTAATCCAATTTTCGAGTAAACCTCGTCTGTCTCTGCATCAGCCAAATATTTAATGGATGAAACTCTACACGGAATAAATGGTGAAATCTTCGATAATCCCCATAAATCTACATTTTTATGGGCATGTTCCGCGTGGCCTTGAGGAAAATAATAGATTTTGGAATTCACTGGAGGCATTTGAACCATCCCACCAGCACAGGCATGCCATAAATGGGTATCCAAGTATTTTTCCACTTGATTCATGGGTTTGTTCACAGAATGCATAATATCAATCATCTTTGGCTGCAAACACATCCACAAACAACAATCATTAATCTTCTCTAGCAAAAAGTTGAAAGGTGTCAACAAAAAAACTAGTTTATAAGAAAACCCGCCCAAGAATCCATTAATGCATACATAACATAAAGATCTTTTCTGGGTTCCAGATGAAACAAAAAATTGAGAACTACTTACGTAAAGGAATAAGCCTTTTTTCCCTGAAGCCAAAACTTGCCTTTATTCTTATATATTTTCCACTAAAACTTCTGAATCTTTAAACAATTGAAGATCTAAAATGTGTCCTTTTGCTTCAAGAAAGAGCGACAGATAATGAATGGAGCAATGGTTGGTTGTTGTAGGATTACTTTTCACACAACATAAAACTGTTAAATGACAGACTGAGATAAGAAAAGGAGAAACTGAGTAGGGGATTTAAGCAACAGTTAGGAGAGAAATAGAGTTGATAATGACAGGGGGACAGACAGTGACAGGAGACAAACACACAATGAGTATGTGAGAGAGACTTTTAACAGACACCTGAATCTGAAGCTTCCTCTGACCACCAGACGGTGGCAGCAGATAGAATTGATATTGACAAATGACATACGACATGCATTGTGTAATTTATATTTTACTTGAGAAATTAGCATCGTTATTATCTATCAATGTTATTCTATAAAATGTTCTTATTTTTTACTTTTTGACATTTTAAACCCTATTTTAAACTTTCATTATGAAAAAATCCTTTCATCCAGTTTCTGAATATAAAAATTGTAAAATGATAAATATACCCTTCGATTTAAATAAAAAGACAAAAAGAAAAGAACAAATTGCAATTATATTCCAAAACATTTTAAAAAATTATAAATGAGCCCAAATAAATTATTAAAAAGGTGATTAGCACAAAACATCCATATCTTTCAATATTATTGTGCAAAACGTCCACATACCTTTTAATATTATTGTGCAAAATGTCCATACCTTTCATTTTTTGATATTTTTACCTTTATTTTTATATTACATCCCGAAAATCATCATATTTATTCATTTTCTCAATAAAAAGCTGTAAAACTATTTAAATAAAATAAAAATAAAGAATAAATTGTAACTATACTCCCAATTTTTTCAAAAAAAAAAAAATACGAATAAATTTCAAATAAATAATTAAAAAAATTATTGAGTATAATTGTAATTTGTTTTTTTATTTTTCTTTTCTTTATTTTTTATTTAAATATGAGGATTTATTAGTCATTTTACAATTTTTTATTGAGAAAATAGATGAAAATGATGATTTTCGGAATGTAATGTGAAAATAAATGTGAAAATGGAAAAAAAATTTAAAAGTTGGACGTTTTGCATAATAGTATTGAAAGTATATTTAAAATTTTTCATTTTTGTTTTTTGTTTTATTAAAATAGAATGATATATTTGTCGTTTTACATTTTTTTATCAAGATATTGTATGAAAATAACCTTGTTTTCGCAACAAAATGTGAAAATAGTGATGAAAATGCCAAAAATGAAAGTTAAGGACGATTTACACTTTTGTGTTACCCTGTTAATTACCCTTTTACTTTTTTGGTTGTGTTTTTTCAATCAATTTATAGAAACTGGAAAGGCTTTGTTTTGCAAGATTCCAACGACCAAACCCCAACAAACACTTGGACCATGTATGTACTCATATTCAACTGCTGCTCTATGGGGAACTTTTTTTTTTTTTTTTTAACCACGAAAATTTTTAGAAATCGAGACGAAAAGTAACTTTTTTTTGAAGTAAACTCTTGTTTGATTTTGATTTTTTAAAATTATTTCTATTTCATACCTGTTTGACAACCATTATTTGAGAAAAACAATGTTTTAAATAGTGATTTTTAGAAAAATATGTGGTTAAAAAGTAGGAAAAAATTTTGAATTTATATTCAAAATATTTTATTGTATGAATGTATGGTTGAAAATGAATTTGTAGAAAAAAATTTCAAATAATGTTGTCAAAAACCAGGGCTAATTTTCAATCACATTTGTCAAAAAAATAATTTTTCATGTTTACCATAATTTTTCTCTGCTCTTTAATTACACATTCACAAAAAAAAAATGGAGAAAAGGATTTTTTCAAATAATCACTTCTCAAAAAATCTTTATCAAACCAGTGCTAAAATTATATTCTAGTGAAACCTCTACTCGACCAATTACCTATTGTCAAGATGAGTCGAGATGCAAGTTCTATGTTTCTTCATCTCTCTTCTTTACAAAATCTCATAAGTCGAATGCTAGAAATCTTATTACATTCTCTCTTTTAAAATTTAGTCATAGTTATTATTCATGCGCTTGTGCTTATATTGCCCAATGTCCGATCATTGTGAGCTTTTTTCTTGTTTTAATCGCAAGTGAGGTTTCTTACTCACTGTCCAGAGAGTACTGGGGTAAAGCAAGATGTTGGTTCAAAAAACAAATTAATGTACCCTTGGAATGAAATGTAGGATAAGCCAAAAGTAACCGGCTATTAATTTTTTATTATTATCAGCTAATCTGTTAGATTATAATTATTAAAAAATATATATATATAATAGACGTCATAATAAAGATGCATTTTACACATAGGACACGTTGCTATGAACCTATTAGAGATTAGAGATCGACCACCATAACAATGAACAATTTTTTGTTTTTTGCTTTTTTTCAATTTTTTGTTTTTTGTTTTTTGTTTTTTTTTTTTGGGATTATATCGTCTAATACTTTTCAATTCAATCTATTAAATGTGAGAGTAATGTGTACACAACTAATTAAGAATCATCATTGAGCAAGCATCAATATTTCCATTAATTTAAGTAGCCGATTAGAAGTTGCTTTTGATTGCGTTTAGTGTCATTATTAACAATGTTTATGTGGTAATTAGTTTTCTTTAATCATCAAGTTATATTTGCACGTAATGGACAAGATCATTGGTGTTCATGCTAATCTTCTAAGCAAAACCCAATGTCAACCCTTGTCATATCCAAATTTGTCGTTGGATGTATAGGTCAGACATAATCTCACATTAGGATAGAAGAAGAAGGATACGAAATCGAAAATCGTAAGCAAGTATAAAGAACATATGATATAGAGTGATTCTAATAAGGATAAGTGTCCGGATCGAACAAATATAAAATTACATATGTTTGGACTATTTTTTTTAAGTTTTTTGACATTTTGTGATTTCAATGTGAGAATTATTTATACTTGTCGATGCAAGGTTTCGCTACTTGTTACCAAACCCATGTCTCTCTTTCTCTTTACAAAGAAAAAGGCTCTGCCTATAATATGTTTATATAGGAATGAAATATTCGAGAAACCTCAAACAATGAATATATTAGTATAACATAAAAATTAGGTCAATTCACAGTAACGTAGTACTGGCTGAGTTCCACCAATGGACACCTTAGTCCATCCTAGTAACTAATGAAATTGTTCAATGTGGTCTTGCATTCGATACTAATTTAGAATTTTCAGACATAGAAAATTCAATAGAATAAAAAAAAAACATTATTAAAAGACTAATTCCACGTAGTATAATTAGATCAATATCTTTGTTAAAAACAAGTAAATGGGTCATTAGATGAGGTATTAGAAAAGTTAACGAAACCGGCAGTCGATTTTCTTGAAAGCAATAGTTGTTGTTAATGTTAACCTTTGAGGTAGCAACACTAATGTTGTAATTAGGATTCCCTTAATACAATAATTAAGGGAGCTGCCGTTTCATACTATCTTTTGATTGAGTCGAATGTCATTGTCAACTTTGTTTATGTAGTAATTTTTGTTTGTTTTGAATAGTCACTCAACTCAAATTCTATAGCAAGCTAGTTATTGAACTTAGGATCCGTTTGATTACAAAGATGGAATTTGGGTAGAAAGAAAATGAATTCCAGGAAATTGAATTGCCTAGAAATTGTTTTCCTGAGAATTGTCAATTTATTGTGTTTGATTGGTGTTGACCCCAAAAAGTGCGCCAACAGATGCCGGTCCCACCCGCGCTTGCGTGGGCGAATGTCCAACACGCTAAGACACGTGGACGGTCTACAATAAGCGGTTCAAATGGGCGTGAGAGTAGCCCAACGACGCGGGACGGTGACGTTCGGAATCCGGCGAGTTATTCGTGATCCGATTGTAAAATAATTACCAACCGGTGCTCGTCAATGTATGTATAAAAGTGTATAAATTTGATTTATGTATTGCAAGTAACTGAGAGAGTTGAGTAAATATAGTCTTTTGTATTGATTCTTGCATTAGTCCTTTGACACTATACAATGGGGGTATTTATAGTGATACATATGGAATGGGGACCCTTGGATGAAGTGGCACGTGGCCTCATCTCCATAGTTTAAATGTCTGTTCATAGGTATGGGATTTGACTTGCTAGCTTACGGCGCATTTATTGTTTGTGCAGGACCTCCACGCTAGTGACAAGACTTGACCTTTATGCTTATGGCAAACATTCCATCAATCATTCGAATAAGATCTGTGCAGGGGATCCCTTGGGAGAAGTGACCATGGAGGATGTTTCCTTGTGGTTGAGGCTCGCGCATCAACTTCGGGGCTTCGTCCATTCGAGGACCTCAGCTACAACAAAACCTTCCACGCCTCGGGCCATGGGCCTCGGTTAGAAGCAGTTCGGGTGTAACCCACCTCGGCAATGTGGGCCACCTCAGCAGGAATGCCGCGTGGATCAGGATGAGTGGCCTACTGGCCCAGGTGGATAGGACAAGTGTGACAACACGCAACAATAGTCCCTCAAGTCCAAGTATGATCATTAATGTAATGCGTGGACTTTAACGGAGTAAAAGTTGAAAGAATTTTTGAATTTTTTAAAACCCCCAAATAAGTACCACAAGTCCAAGTATAGATATTTATATCATGGTTGGAGTTAGAGAAGTTTTGCTGTAGGTAGGTGTGCAGAAATCGAGGTGGTTGGGAAACCGAACCTGCGAGGTTTGAGTGGCAGATGAAGGAGCCGAGGTGGTTGGGAAACCGAACCTGCGAGGCTTGAATGCTGAATGGGTGTGAAGAAGCCGGGTGGTTGGGAAACCGAACCTGCAAGGCTTGAATGCTGAGTGGCAGATGAAGAAGCCGAGGTGGTTGGGAAATCGAACCTGCGAGGCTTGAATGCTGAATGGGTGTGAAGAAGCCGAGGTGGTTGGGAAATCGAACCTGCAAGGCTTGAATGCTGAATGGCATATGATGAAGCCGAGGTCCAATGGTGATTATTGTGCTTTGGTCTCTGTGCCAATGATTTGATGTTTTGTGCTTGTTTTCGAGGAAAGGAAGCTGAACCGTTACGAATTCCAAGGCGCTGGCGCCGATGAATTAAAAATGCAATTATGAGTGTAGCTGGCGTTTCTAAAAGCAGACGCGTTGGAGAGGTGCGTGTGAGGTACGCATAGATAGGAGGCGTAGGATTTCAAAAACTGT